GTAGTTTGAGCATTCTTTGGCATTGCCTTTCTTTGGGATTGGAATGAAAACTGACCTTTTCCAGTCCTGTGGCCACTGCTGAGTTTTCCAAATTTGCTGGCATATTGAGTGCAGCACTTTCACAGCATCATTTTTTAGGACTTGAAATAGCTCAACTGGAATTCCATCACCTCCACTAGCTTTGTTTGTAGTGATGCTTCCTAAGGCTCACTTCACTTCACACTCCAGGATGTCTGGGTCTAAGTGAGTGATCATACCATCATGGTTATCTGGGTCATGAAGCCCTTTTTTTTTTTTTATGAATACCTTTTTTGTACAGTTCTTCTGTGTATTCTTGCCACCTCTTCTTAACATCTTCTGCTTCTGTTAGGTCCATACCGTTTCGGTCCTTTATTGTGCCCATCTTTGCATGAAATGTTCCCTTGGTATTTCTCATTTTCTTGAAGAGATCTCTAGTCTCAGGAGATGATCCTTTTTTGCCTGGTCACTACCATATCAAGGATGGTCAAGATATGACAACAGTCTCTGTCAAGTATGGCCTCCCCCTCAAAGCCTCTGGGTGCTGTTCCGAGCCTGGGACTCGCCATCACACTAGCAGTGAAAAGAGCATTTCTCACAAGCTGTCCAAGGTTTTGACCTCATTTGTCCCTCTGCTCCAGGGAGGAATCTTCTAGCACCCAGGCCACAGGCAGTCACCAGCGCATCGGGGACATCCTGCTCAGGAACATGCTTCAGTTAAAGGTAGCGTGGGCTTGTGTGAGGCTCTGAGCGTAGCAGCTGGTGGTGGGGACACCAGCTTCCTCCTCAGGACAGTGTTCTCCTTAGAACAACAAAAGGCAGGACAGACTTCCCCTCAGGTCAGCTCTGCCCTCAGGTCAGGACACAAGCCCTTCTAAGCCGTCTTCCTCTCAGTCAAGACACGAGCCCCTCTGAGCCGTGTTCCTCGGAGCGCTATTTCCAGGACGGGCTTTCCTCAGGTCAGTGCCCCCTCAGAGCAGAGCTCCCTTCAGGCTAGGTCCTCTCGGAGCTGCCTCCCCCACCCCAATGGCAGTCTCTTCAGGACAAACGCCCCTCAGGATCGACAGCGCCCCGCAGGGCTGCCTCCTGGGCCAGGGTTCCCTCAGCCCGCGCCCCTCAGAGCCGTGAGGCCGGTGCAACTGCTCCCGCACGCTCGGGCCCCAACACTGGGAGCCCGAGGTACCAGCTTCACCTGCGGCTGCGCCGCCCGCTATCCCAGCACTGGGGCCCTGGCTCTCGCGCGACTCGCCGTGCGCTCCTCCCGGAGGCTTCCAGCCCAGACCCTGCCCCGCCCCTCAGGTTCCGCCGGGCTCCGCCCCACCCCCTGAGGCCCCGCCCCGCAGGGGCCTAGGCGCCCCTTTTAGGCGTGAGGTGAGCGCGTTTTCCCCGGACGCGCCTCCCGGCTTTCGGTTCTCAGGGCGGACTGTGAGCGCGTCCCGGAGGTGGCGTGAGCTTAGACCCACACGCGCGCACCGTTTGATAGCGCTTACCTGGCCCGGCGGCCGCCTGTGCGGTCCGCTGAGACGCACGTTCTGGGGCAGCCCCCCGGGGGCGCGGCTCCGAGGGGCTGGCCGGGCAGGGCCGGGGCGCGCGCCGCCGCTAAGTCCGTCCTGCCCGCAGGCGCTCACCGGCCACTTCCAGCAGCTGCAGGAGGTCCTGACAGAGCTGGAGGCGGCCAGCCGGCGCCTGCGGAGGCTGGAGGCGCTGCGCCGCGACTTCGAGCTGCAGAAGGTCTGCTACCTACCGTTCAACGCCTTCCTGCTGAAGCCGCTGCAGCGCCTGCGCCACTACCGCCTGCTGCTGCGCCGCCTGTGCGCCCCGGGGCCCGGGGACCCCGGCCCGCACAGCCAGGACCGCGCCGACCTCAGCGGTGAGTGCCGCCTGACGCCCCGGTCGCCGCCGGCGGAGCCTTCCCCGAGCCCGCTGGGACAGGGGAGGGCCGGGCGGCTGCTTCTAAACCAGAAACTCGGGGAACACGCTCCTGACCGAAGCATCTGACTCCGTGGACTCTGCCGTTTCTCACCTGTTAAAAGGACCAAAGAATAAACCCTGATGCTTGTGACCTACCAATAGGACTGGCAGTTGCAGGGTAAACTTAGAGCAGGAAATCACTGCCTCTCAGGTCAAGTCACCACTGCCACTAGACAAGCCGGAGAGAACGGGGCAGCGCGTCCTCCCACGGGTCTCCCAGTCCTGAGGACAGAACAGATGCTCTCTGATGTACAAGGCACAACAAGGACCCTACAGTGCCCTTCCTCTCCTTCCTGAAAGCAAGTGGTGTGTTTTTGCTAAAAAGGAGAGGACACAATTGTCCCAATGGCTCTAAGCATTTTAAGGGAAACGTGAAAGAAGAGCCTGTGTCAAATGAGGGCCCACAACATAAAAGAGCTGTTTCCAAAGACTGTCCTGTCTCTTCACCGAGCCTGGGTGTTGGCCGGGAGCAGTTTGGGCTGCATGAGTCCAGGTTTCAGGACCCACACTTGCTGTCCCTGGCAGTCCTGAGGAGTTTGAGCACAGTGTTCCCTGGAATTAAAACCACCTTTAAAATGTCACAAGCTGGTCGGGGGAGGGTTTTGTCCCCACCCGCAGCCCACCTGCCCCTGCTTATTGTAATGAGGGACCTGTCCACACAGATGCCCTCCAGGCCATCACGGAGGTGACCTCCACGCTCCAGCACAGCCTGGTCCAGCTGGAGAACCTGCAGAGGCTGACAGAGCTGCAGCGGGACTTGGTCGGCATAGAGAGCCTGGTCGCTCCCGGCAGGGTGAGTGGCTTCATTTAAGAACGTTTTTTGAGCTGGTTACTTCACTGTTTTTGACTGAGACATAATTCAGAGTATGTGATTCCATAGTTTTTTGTATATTCATGAGGTTGTGCCACATCGCCACTAATTCCAGGATATTTCATTCCTCGAAAGAAACCCCACCGCTGCTCGCAGTCACCCCACCCCTGGTTCGGCAGCTGCTAATCGGCTTTCTGTCTCTGGATTTCCCCACTGCGGGCGTTTCATACACACGGAGCCTCACAGTGTGTGGCCTTTTGTGTCTCTCTTCTTTTGCTCAGCACAGTGTCTTCCAGGTTCATTCGTGTTGTGGGGCGGAGGCTTCATTCCTTCTTGTGACTGAGTATCAGTGTTCCATCTCTGGAGACGGCGTATTTTGTCTATCTGTCATCTGCTAATAGACACTTCGGTTGTTTCCACTTTTTGGCCACTGTGAATAGTGCTTCTCTGAGCACCGTGTACAAGTCCTGGTGTGAACATGTGTTTTCAGTTCTCCTGGGCACACATGTATAAACCTAGGAGTGGAATTGCCAAGTCACATGGCCACTCTGTGTTTAACATGTTGAGAAATTGCCAAAGTTGTCCCCAGTGTCTGCAGCATTTTACACGCCCACCAGGAGTATGTGAAGGTTCTGATTTCTCCGTATCTTGTCTTTTTGACTTAGCCATACCGTTCTGACGGTATGCAGTGGCATCTCATCATGTTTCGATCTGCATTCCCCTGATGGCTAACATCAAGCATCTTTCCTGGTGTTTATTGGCCATTTTCTGTGCCTTCTTTGGAGAAGTGCCTGCTCAGGTCCTTTGCCCACCTTTCAATTGGTTTGTTTGTCTCTTTACTGTTGTGAGCTTCCCTCTCATCTCTGAATACCAGATCTTTACCAGAATATGATTTGCAAAATATGTTCTCCCATTTGGTGGGTTATCTTTTCACTTTCTTGATGGCATCATTTACAACATGGAAGTTTTTAATTTAGCTGATGTCTAATTTGTCTGTTTTTTCTTTGGTTACTTGTGCTTTAGGTGTCATAGCTAAGAAACTATTGCCTAATCTAAGGTATGAAAATTTACCCCTGTGTTTTCTTCTAAAAGTGGTCTATGTTTTAGCTCTTAACATTTAGACGTGATCCATTTTGAGTTCACTTTTGTATATGGTGTGAGATAGGGGTCCAACTTCACCCCTTTCCAGGTGGGGGTACAGTTGTCCCAGCACCTTTGTTGAACTGTCTTTGTACCTTAGTCAAAAAGCAGTGGGCGTGGAGTGAGTTTATTTTTGAACTTTCAGTTTAATTCCATGGGTCTCTATGTCTACTGGGCTGCTTACTTTTTGTCATTAATAGCTTTTGCTTTGGAAAGAATCCACCTGCAATGCAGGAGACCCCAGTTCAATTCCTGGGTTAGGAAGATCCGCTGGAGAAGGGATAGGCTACCCACTCCAGTATTCTTGGGCTTCCCTCGTGCCTCAGCTGGTAAAGAATCCACCTCAACGTGGGAGACCTGGGTTTGACTCCTGGGTTGGGATGATCCCCTGGAGAAGGGAACAGCTTCCACTTCAGTATTCTGGCTTGGAGAATTCCATGGACTGTATAGTCCATGGGGTTGCAAAGAGATGGACACGATTTTCACTTTCACAGTAGTGTTTAAGGGTTGCATGGGGATGTTTTCTGCCTCCACACACACACGAGAGCATGGGTGTATAAGTCCTGTTTTCTGTTAGCCTTATTAGAAGAAGGTCCTGAGAATGTGGGATCGTGAACCGAAGGAACGAGACTGAAACAGGAAGGTCCTGCCGTCCTGGAGCCGGAACGGCCTGTTCCCTCTCCCACCCAGACCACCCAGCTCCCCAGGGCTGCTCGCAGGGCCGGGAGCTCTTGTTCCTCTGGTTTCTTCGTGTGCCCCAGGAGCCTATTACTAGACGGACACATAAACAGGAGCACCCACAGAGCGAGGGCGAGCTCCCCGGGGAAGAGGCCTTGCTGCCGTCGTCACTGCTGCTGTGACAGAGACCTGCTCTCATCACACCGGGGTGCCCGGCCTCCCCGGAGCGCAGCACATCCCTACCTGAGGAGCAGGGCTATGGACTGGATGTGGCTGATAAGGGCCCCGGGATGCACGAAGCGCCAGGGTGCAGGAATGTGGCAGGCCCACCCGCCAGTGCTGGGGCACAGGCGCTGCAGTTCTGGGGTCTCTGGAGGCGATGGGGCTGCTCTGCGGGCAGGAAGACGAGGCTGCTGTGGTTCCCTCCTCCTCCGTGGAGCTGGCCCCTGGCTTGGGCCAGGATTTCTGGATCAAGGTCTCCTTACGCCCTCGCCCAGTGCATCTGAGGGAGCTAAGGCCGGAGTCCTCTGGGGTGTTCTCGGGTCACAGCCCACACTGCCCCCTGAAATAGTCCACAGCAACTGTCCAGGGTCCCTGGGCTGACCCTCCAACCACGGTGCAGGCCATCAGGGGTGTCTGATGCCTGTGCCCCCAAGGCAGAGGTGGGGCCTGGCCTGGCGGTGAGGGGGCCCGAGTCCTGGGGGGAGTGGGCTGCGGGACACAGGGGACCCCACCAAGCTCAGACCACTAGAAGTTCTCACCCCAGCCACGGCACCTTCACGGAGGAATCCTCTGGTCAGGCCACAGGGCGACTGCTCACGAGCCCCTGGTGATTTTTGTGGGAACCTGGTGTCCGTCCTCCTCCCTGCCATTCTCTAGCCGCCCCGCCTGGCTTTCCCCAAAGCTGAACTCGGGTCATCTCCATGGCAGAACTTTCCAGAAGCACAGCAGTGCCAGCCCTCAGCACAACCAGCCTGTGGCGGCTCAGACATGGGGCAGTGGGTTAACCAGCAGCAGGAAGGACGCGGGGGGCCCCGGGGAGCGGACAGGAGGGAGGAGGCTGGAGCGGCAGGCGGGCTCCCGGGCAGGAGGACGCCATGGAAGGGCTGCGAGGGGCGAGGGGGCGCGTGGAGGGTGAGGAGCCATCTGCTGGGCACCCTTGGCCGGCACTCAGGACCCCTGTCTTCCAGGAGCTCATCCGCGAGGGCTGCCTCCACAAGCTCACCCGGAAAGGCCTGCAGCAGAGGATGTTCTTCCTGGTAGGTCGGCAGGTGCCGTCCGGGCAGGGCTGAGCCGTTGGGGCCGTGAGGGACGCGGGGATGCCCCAGGCCCGTGTGGTCAGGGCCTGTGAGGGACGCGGGGATGCCCTGGCCCACCCCCCTCCTGGTTCTGGGTTCTGGGCACCTGTCTGCAGCCCAAACTAAAGCAGGAAGGTAGAGAAACCCACGCAGCCATGCTGCAGGGACGCCCTGCTCACGCCAGTCCGCAGGGCCTGAGGCCTCCGGGAGTCCCTCGCGCCCAGCTGGAGGATTCGCCCCCTCCTGCGGGAGGGCCTCGCAGGACCACCCCCCACTCCTCCACTGGCACAGCAGGCGCTGGCCCAAGAGGCCTGCCGTTCACGTGGCTACTGCTCACCTCTGGTCAAAATGACAACGGTGTGGAACAAAAAGCCCCTTTTTAGCAAAAATCTCCAGCAAGCTGAAAAACCACACGCGGGCCCTTGGAGTGAAGCTGGCCTGACTGTGGACACTTGTTTTTAGAACTTGCTCACCTAAAGCTCTGGCCCCTCAGTTCTCAGACATGCTGCTGTACGCGAGCAGAGACGCTGCGGGGAGCAGCCTCTTCCAGATGCGGGGCCTCCTCCCGCTGCGCGGCATGCTGGTGAGTACGCGGCGCTGGGCGGACCGGGCCGGGCTCACAGCCGCTCCCCGCCATCCCAGGGGCTTACATGGCCGCAGCCCTGATCATGCCCACCTGCACCTGTAGGACCAGGCCCAGGTCCTCTAGGACTCCACCTGCCAATCCCAGGGAGCCCTGTTCCTTGGCAGGAGAGCCCACAGAAAGCCTGGTCCAGGCACTGGGGCCACAGCACTGCTGGAGGGATGGGGCTGACACCATGTCTAAGAAAGCTAAACCCCTCATCCCTAAGATGCTGCACACTTTACTTCCTTGATTTTATTTGTACATCTCTTCTCTCAAACAGACAATTTTGGTTCCTTGCGGTGCCATAATCTGCTATTTCACACACACACAGCGTTAAGGCGGTGACACAGACGCCACCACCTGGACGGGTGGAAAGGGGGCCCGAGGCCAGCACTGGGCTCAGGGCAGCTCCTGCTGGCCGCCCCCAAGTCCTGCCATGCAGCCCGGTGACAAGGCACATGCCACACGCCCAGTGCTGTCTCCACACCACACGCCCGCCGCCACAGGGCAACGTGGGGCGTGGACGCTGACGAGCAAGGTGCCTCGTCCTAACACGAGGCAGTCTGTCCTCTCCGTGATCACCGCTTTCTGTGGTGAGACACCCCCGCAGACACTGACTCCCCGCTGTGTGAACCTCCCTCCCACCTGGAACCCATCTGGGGACCAGCAAACATGGGCGGCCGAGTTCAGGTTTCTGCCGTGAGGACGTGCTGTTGGGCAGCGAGCCCCTCGCTGCGGCCCCACCAGGCCCCATCTGCTGCGGGTGGTGGGTGGGCTCTCCTGTCAGTCCAGCTCCGTCCTGCCACTTTCCCCCTCGTGGCGTCTGGCCCTTCTTGCCGCCCTCTGCGCGCCGGGCACACGTCTCCTTCGAGACAGTGCCAGAACTTCCGTAGATGTCTCTGACATTTGTTCAGCTTTTCCAACTCTCAGCATGAAAGGGTCAGTCTGAATGACCTCACCCGCCATCCCTGGAAGCAGATCCCCTCTGTTTTGAAATGTGAAAGTGACGTCTTCATTATAGAAAGAAGCTGAAAATGCCAAGTGAAAATCAGTGCTCACTCTGCCGCCTGGCAGTGAGAACTGCAGGCCTTTGGCCGTCACCCGGGAGTGTGTGCCACAGGCTGGCTGTGACCGGTGCTGGCCCTGCGTGGCAGCGCGTCTCAGCAGCCCCTGCTTTCACCCCTGGATCGAGTCCTGAGCACTGGACCAGGGAGCCAGGCCCCAGCTCATTTAGCCAGTTCCCTGCACTGGACACTGCTGCGTCTAGATTTTCAGGATGAGAAACAGCACCACCGTTTTTGTCTTTTGACACATCCTTAGTTAGGTCCTTGAGATAAATCGTGTGAGCTGGGGGCGCTCTTGACCGTTACTGCTACGCGGCTGTAAGAGCAGCTGGCCGGGTGACCTTCCCATCAGGTGCGTCTGCACCTGCCTCTGCCCGAGCCTAGGGCATCGCTCCACCTGCCAGTGTGGAGCCTGGTTCATGCAGTTCGTGGAGTTTCTAAACCCTTCTAGGCCTCGGGTGCTTGCCAAGCCAGTCGTTCCTTTCACTCTGCCTTCAGTTTGGTTTTACCTCGGAGAATTTAAACTCCATCCAGATGCAGATCGTGTTTGGCTTGCTCCTAGAACTGCATGTGGCACGGAGGCCCTACTTGTTGAAGGAGTGAAGGTCGCCGTTTTCAGTCAGGCAGTCTGTCCATCTTTTCCTCTAGGGTTTCTGTCCTTGCTACGGGCTCAGAAAGTCTTTCCCACACCAAGACCGCGCTGCCAGCTTCTTTCCTGGTACACTTATTTTCCTAACTAATCTGCCTAAAATTTGTTGCTTTGGATGTTTTTAGATTGAGATGTAACATTCTCTTTTTGTAGTCAGCTTTCCCATTATTTGTTGAATCCTTCATTTTTTTCACTGATCCCAAGGCTGCCTTGATCATATAAAACATTCTTGTCTTTACACTTGGATTCTTTCTGGAGGTTCTGTTCCATTTCTGTCTGTCCCAACACCTGTCTACACTGTTCTCATTAGTGGTGTGGTAAGGGTTAGTCACCACATCAGAAGTTCCTTCTCATATGTGTCCTTCTGTTTAAAAAGTTATTTGCTAATTTCAAGTATTTAATTCTTCTGAGTAAACTTTGGAATCATTTGGATGAACTTCCTCAAGGAACATGATTGAGATTTCTGTTGAAATTGTATTAAACTTAGTTAACTGAGAGGAGATGCCATCCTGCGAAGCCTTGTCCTGCTGGCTACCGCCGCTCATGTTAGTTTCTGACCTGTAACTCCCGCGTGGGGCTCCCTCGTTGGCGTCCCATGTGTTTGGGGGGTGGGGGTAGGTCAGCTGTAGCCAACTAGTCCTGGGGACAGAAACGCCGCGCTCGCTCCTGGCTGTGGAGGGAAGGCTGCCGAGCCCTGGCCGGTGGACAGTCACTCCCTGTCAGCACAGTGTCCTCCGCTAGTCTCCGAGAGGTCTTATCAGACACGCAGGACTTTGGCAGAGGCACTCCAGCACATGGAGACGGTCACCCTTCTTCCTCCTTGTGACACAGTGGATTCTGGCAGTTAGCTTCGTAATGTCAAACCGTCCTGCATTTCTGGAACCACCTGGCTTGGTATAGGACAATGTCTTCTCTCTGCCTTTAGGTCCAGTTAGGGAGTACTTTTTTCTGGAGTTATGTAATCCCTTATCATAAAAGTTAGTCTGTGTGCTTTTTCTTTGAGTCTTTGTTAGGTTTTGGTACCACCATATATCATGAACTGTCTCTCTTTTCAACAAAATGCTCAACGTCTCTTCCTGTGCTTGATTTTCAGCTAATAGTTCTGGACCCTCCGGTGAGTAGTTGGGTGCCTGAGGCCCTCAGCTCGTCCGCCTGGGTGGCAGGCCCCCCGGTAGCCCTGGTAGTCAGCAGGGGCCTGGTGCACACCTGCGTGCAGCCCCGCTCCTGCTCCAGACCCCTGCTCTCTGCCCACAGGTGGAGGATCAGGAGAGTGAGCGGTCTGTCCCGCCCTGTTTCACCATCTGTGCGGCTCAGAAGACCATCGTGGTGGCGGCCAGGTGAGGGCCCCCTTCCCCGTCTGCTCGTGGGCTTCTGTGCCGTGCGTGTCACGGTCACCAGGACATGTGTCCCAGTGAGCACTGCTTCAGGGGAGCAGCTGCACCCTCGGTGGGAGCGCGTGGCTTCTGAGACCGTCTCCAGGACGGCCCGGCACCGCGGGCTGCCCCTGCCCCCGTCACATCCCCAGGAAGGAGACCCAAGTTCCTGGCGGCCCGTGTGGGCCCTTGTGGGGATTGGCACTGAGCTGTGCCTGGCCCCGCACCTCCCTGCAGGTCCTGGCTGCGTCGGAACACGGGGCACTCACCTCCCACCAGGAGACCTTGGCGGCTTAACCGTGACCCAGGCTCCAGGCGCCCATTTCCGCACCAGAGCCTTAAAATTCCATGATTCAGGAACATAACACAATGTGGGCAGCCCCAGAGAGCGTGGTGGGTTAGGCTGAGCCATCAGCAGCCTCCGCCAGCCCTCGGGACCCGCAGCACAGGATGCCTGGGGGGAGTGGGCAGGCCCCCCAACTCCCTGCCCCACTGTGGGAGGGGGCCCTGCCCCGCAGCTGAACCTTAAGCCTGCCCGCAGCACCCAGCTAGAAAAGGCCAAGTGGCTGCACGACCTGAACACGGCCATCGACGCAGCCAAGACAGGCAGCACCCCGGCCCCAGCGCCCCCGGCCCGCATGCTGTGCCCCCTGCCCCGCGGTGAGTGCTGGCTGAGCTCCTGGAAACCAAGGTGGCTTTCTAGGGGCGGGACTGGGGGTCACCGGGCCAGCCCACCTGCTATGCCCGCATGCCCTCCTTCCATGGGGCACGTTCGGGGGGCAGCGGGCGTGGGCGCTCTGGCAGGGCATTGCGTGGTTGTGCTCCCTGCCTGCCACTGGCTGGAGCACCCATGTCCTCAGCCAGGGCCGGCCTCTCCCCAGGGTCCCCCAACGAGGCCTCCCTGGAGCCGGAGCCTGAGGACGAGGCTGGCGGGGCCCAGGGCTCCGTGGCGGGAATGGGCCAGCGCCGTGCCAACACCACCGTGCATGTGTGCTGGTGCCGCCACACCAGCGTGTCCAGGGCCGACCACAGCGCGGCTGTCGAGGTACGGCCGGGCGCCCCTGCTCTGCTCCCTCCCTACAGAAGCACCTAGCTGGCCTCCGCACCCCTCAGAGTGGAGCCTGGCTTGTCGGGCCCCTGGGCGCGCCCTCAGAGCAGATGGGGGCCAGGCCAGGGAGCAAGCAGGCAGCGGGCAGCTCATGGGGACCTGCCGGACGGGAGGTGGCCTGGGTGCTCCTCTGCCGTCTGTGCCAGCCCCGGGGTCAGAGACGCGGGGCCCCAGCCTGAGGAGCAGCCCGTGCTGTCTCTGGGCTCAGGCCTGGGGCCATGCCCGTGACGCCCAGAGAGGGACGGGGCACCAGCAGGCCGCAAAGGGGCCCCACAGAAGGGCACGCGGGCTCCACGCCAAGCGGGGTGCTGCCCCCAGCCTGCCAGGTGGATGCCACTGTGGGCCTGTCCCCGCGTCTGTCACGGGGCACTGGGGACAAGCAGCGCTGGGCTCGGCCAGCCTGTCCCTGCCCTCTGGACTGCTAAACACTGAGGCAGGTCCGGGGAGGCACCGCGTCCCTGCCCCGCAGAGCACAGGGAAGCCTGGGGGCAGCCCTGCGGGACGGAACCAAGAGGGTGGCCCTCTGTGGCCAGTGGTCCTGGGACACTCACATCCGCAAACATTTCCTTCAGAACCAGCTTTCTGGATACCTGCTGAGAAAGTTCAAGAACAGCAGTGGCTGGCAGAAACTCTGGGTGGTCTTCACCAATTTCTGCTTGTTCTTCTACAAAACCCATCAGGTAGGTGGGGCCCTGCCTGTGGGCGCTGCACCCTCACGGAACCGCCTGTGGGCGGGTAGGGGCTGGGCACCCACCGAGTGACCACGGCCCGCCACCTTCCAGGACAACCACCCGCTGGCCAGCCTCCCGCTGCTGGGCTACAGCGTGAGCCTCCCTGGGGACACGGATGGCATCCACAAGGAGCATGTCTTCAAGCTCCAGTTCAAGTCCCACGTCTACTTCTTCCGGGCCGACAGCAAATACACGTTCGGGAGGTGACTGCAGAGGCGCCTGGGCCCCCAGTCCCGCCTCGGGGCTTTCCTGGGCCTGGAGGGGGGCCGAGCGCTGCTGCTGGGGTTTAACAGGCCCCGAGCCAGCCCTTCCCTCTTTACTTGGGGTGGTTCTTGGGAAGGTGTTTGGGCACAAGCCCGCTGATCTGATGGCCCTGCCTCCCAGGCAAGCAGTTGGTGGGGTGGCTCTGACCTCTGCGCTTCCTCTCAGGTGGATGGAGGTGATACAGAGAGCCAGCACCTCAGCTGAGAGGGCTGGGACCCCCGAGGAAAAGGCCTGAGGCCCACCCTGCCCAGATGAAGAAGCCGAGCAAGCAAGCAGGGCTGGCATGCACCCCACGACTGCCTGTCCCCACCCCGAGACTGGCGGTGGCGGGCGGGCTTCCTGGCAACACCCGGCAGCGAGTGCTCCCCAGGGACGCAAGCCAGCGCCTGGGCTCAGCAGGGCACCGGGAGAACGTGCACGGTGGGTGCGGGCCAACTCTGTGCGGGCAAGGTTGGCACTGCCCTGCCCTCACCCACCTGCCCTCCTCCTGCCGGGCAGGGCCTCCCGACAGGCTGGGTGATGGGGGGTCCAGGCACAGAAGCATCCCTGGTGCCCCCCCAGCCCACACTACTACAAAGTGGAAAGCAAGCCCCACTAATTTATCATTCCAAGGAGTGTACGGTGCTGAGACACCGAGTGGCTGAGAATAAAGGGTCTCCCCCCAGGTCCGTGTGCTGCCTCCCCTGCCCGCTCTCTGACCCGCGGCCACACATGCTCACCTTGGGTGAGGAGGACTCTGCACCCCGCCCAGCACCAGCACATCTCAGTTCAGGTCTTTATTGAAAGTGGCGGGAGCCTCTGAAGGTTCTATGAAAACTAACACCTTAACCTCAGAATATTTAGGGAAGCAAGGAAGTTTGGTTTTCTTAAAAAAAACACCAATCTGGCTGACACGAGTACTTAAGAGAAGACACGGTACCTGCTCCAACAACACAGGGCGAACCTACAGCCTCTATGGGCGGGTGGGCCAGGCAGGAGGCGGCAGGTCTGCCCCACGCATCCCTGCCCCTCCATCTGGGCCGAGAGCACAGCCCTGGGGACCCACCTGGCCTTGGGGCCCTGAAGAGACCCAGCCCACTGCCTCTGCCGCTGAGTGCGGCCTTGGCCCAGCCAGGAGGAGATGTGGGAGGGGACAGCCCTCTGTGGGGGCAAGGGCATGGCCCGCAGGGCGAGGCCAGGATGGCCCAGGGCCCTGGTCAGCACAGTCCTGACCACATGGCTCCCGACGGAGACCCTCCTCCCGGGTGCAGACAGGGCTTCAGCGGGTCGACGTCAGGTGGTTTCTGCTGTGGGAAAACCTGCAGACCAGAGGCCGGGTCACTGCTCTGCCCAGGAGCGCAGGCCAGGCCGGGGGCGCAGGACCCACAGACCTGATCGAGCCCCACCCGGCGAGGAGGACCCACAGCAGCCTGCCGCCCCCAGGCCCTCACCTCTGCACCCGCTCCACCAGGTGGGCCATCAGCTTGTCCGAGATGCCGGGGCAGGACTCCTCAGCCAGGCTGAAAGCATTCTCCAACTCCTCCAGCGCCCCCACGCCCCCGCCGCTCTGCCTATGCTTCTCTTTGAGCTGCGTGGACACCACAGACACCTGACTGGGGGCCAGCCTCCCCGCCCCGCCTGACCTGCGACTAGCAGCAGGAGGCAGTGCTGCCCCAGGGTTCCCAAGCACCAAGCAGGGGCTTCCAGCCGGCCCTTTCCCCGGGGCCTCGCTCCTCCAATCAGGAACCTTCTCCCGACCCCGGGTCCCAGAAGCCCACAGCCCAGATCAGCCAGATGAGCCCCGCCAGCCTGACCACTGGGAGTAGGGGCCAACTCGCACCCCCAGCTGTGGAGACCCCACGAGGTGACGGCCTGGCCGGGGGTGCTGGAGACGGGTCAGTCTGCTCGCCCAGCACACAGAATAAAGGGGTGAGGGACGGACACCTCCCCGGACACCCACCCGGCAGCCTGACCTCAAGCCAGCCTACAGAACCGGAACCCGAAGGGGGCCCAGCCAGCCGGGGTGCGGCCATGCCTCCCACCCACCTCACACCCCAAAGGTGCCAGCCCCAGGAACCCTGCTGCGTGGCTCCAAGAGCCCATGTGCCCAGGGACAGCCCACCCCCACCAGCTCCACCCCCCAACTCCATCCCCTTCCCCGCCCCGGCACTGCAGGCCCCTGGGTGGGAGGGCTGTCCACGCCCGCTCCCAGGCTCCAGGGCCAGCGTCACCCTGGGAGTGAACACGGCCACAGCCCACTGCTGGCGACTCCCTCCGGGGATGCTGCTGAGCGCCCTTGAACAAGTGATGGACGTTGGGTCACGTGACCGCTGGGCGTGGCCCTCAAGAGCTCCCTGCCCAGGGCCTGAGGCCCAAGACTGGAACACCCAGGCGCTCGAGACTGCGGATCTCCCCGAGTCTGTGCTTCAGGAGGAAAGGTCCCAGGACGGCAGCTCATGTTCAAAGCCCCCCTGGGGCCCCAGAAGACCCCGGCAGGCTCGGGATCTTGAGGGTCACCTGAGGCCAGCTTATCCCAGCCAGCTCTGGTCCTTTCACCCAAAACACCAGGTCCAAGGAACCAACCTCACGAGCCCCGAGGGACCCAGATACCCCGTGCCACCCCAGCTCGGCCCTCACCTCTCCAAAGACGGGCCGGACCAGCGTGGACAGGCACTGCGACCTCGGCTGCCTCTTGACGGGCTCCACCGACTACAAGCGCAGAGCGTGAAGAGATGAGCCAGGCAGAAGCAGGGGACTCAGGCAGCTGCGAAATCCCCACCCCATCCTGGTCTCCCGAAGGGCCACCCCTGAGGAGCGGGCGTCCCAGGAGGTGGGTCCCCACAGCCCGCTCCCTCCGGCGCGCCCAGGGCCGGGCCGACCTTCTGGGCGCCGTGCAGGGCTGCCCCCTTGTGCAGCTTGCTGTGTGGGCTCGGCCGGATGGTGGGGGGGAAGGTCCAGATGGGCCCCTGCTCTCCGTCCTCGGGGTCTCCATCTCTGAAGGGGACGATGGGAAGTCACACAGGGCCTTGAAGTCAGGAAGGCCCCAAAGGCCAAACCCTGCCCCGGGGAGCCCGTCTTGGCCCCGTGGGAAGAGCAGGCCCTACATGTCAGAGTCCTCGGAGCTGGACTCCTCGCCATGGCCCTCCGACCTCCAGCGCTTGTAGCGGTCGATGAGTTCAGTGAGGAAGGAGGTCTTCTTGGTGTAGCGTGTGATGAACTTGTGCTTCAGGAGCTCCTTGGCGGTGGGCCGCTGCCAGGGGCGCACACGGGTCACCAGGCGCCGGGCAGACAAGTGCTGCCTGGGGAGCCCCTGGCGCTCAGAGCAAGGAGGCCTGGGCTAAGCTGGGTCATCAGCATTGCTGCCCCCACTGGGAGCCTGGTCAGGGGACCCCAGGTGGCAGGGGCGCCCAGGGGGGTGGGTGGCTGTACACCATCCTCCCCAGGGGAAGGGCCTCCCTCCATACCCTCCTGGCCTGGGCCGGGAGCACAGCAGAGCCTGCCCTGGCACAGCGGAGGGGCCTCCAGCCCTGTCACCTCCAAGCTCTCACTACAGACAGACTGCATGCCCCTCCATGCAAGTACGCGCACACACATACACACACACCCCCAGTATCCTCTGGGGCGCAGTTCCAGGCGCCCCAACTATGCTCAGCTGTGCAGGCGTTCTCACCACTCATAAGCTGGGGGCGAGAGGAGCTTACAAATCGGGGGTCCTTGTTGAGGCAGGCCTCCACAAACTCCTTGAAGGGCTTGCTGTGGTGGCCCTCAAGCGTGGGCGGGCTGTTCTTGGGGATCAGGAACAGGACACGCATGGGGTGCAGGTCGGAGTTGGGGGGCTCGCCCTTGGCCAGCTCGATGGCTGTGATCCCCAGTGACCAGATGTCGGCCTGGACAGAGAGCCACGGGGCCACTGAAATGCAAGCCGCCCGAACCCCGCGGCCCCCACGCCGGCACGCCGCACTCCCCCCTCGCCACCCAGCCCACCTTGAAGTCATAGGCTGACTGCTTGATGACCTCGGGCGCCATCCAAAAAGGGGTGCCCACGAACGTGTTCCTCTTGATCTGCGTGTCCGTGAGCTGGCCTGCCACCCCGAAGTCTGCCAGCTTCACGTCACCCTGCTCCGAGAGCAGCACGTTGGCGGCTGTGACACAGGACCGCAGGCGTCACCCTCCACACCGCCTTAGGAAGCACCCTCCCAGCCTCCAGCTGATCTCCCACCAGGGAGGTCCGCCCTCAGCCACAAGGCCATGGCACACTGCCAGCGGGTGCCTGTGGGCCCTGCACACATGCACCCTCAGCCAGCCCCAGTGCCCCCCTAACGGTCACCACCACTGAAGACCCCGGGCACAGGAACCACCCTCCCTGCCAAATCGCTCAACAGGCAGAGGGGACTGCCTGACTTCCCGTTGCTCTGCCAGTCAGGCCCCTGCAGGCTGGCCCGGCCACTCACATCCACCAGCACGGCTGCTCTCACACACCTCACATTCACAGACTAAGCAGGGGCCCTCCTATGCTACGTGCAGAGCCGGCTCTGCTGTGTGCAGGGACACAGCGCTGTTACTGGAAACAGCGGGACTGCCAGGTTTCCGGGGCGGCAGCGAGCAGTGGGCACTGAGCACCGCTGGCCCCGCGCCCACGCCTCCTGCCACAGCGTGCCGTGAGGCACCTTTGATGTCTCGGTGGATCTTGCGCTCCGAGTGCAGGTAATCCAGGCCCTTCAGGATCTCCCGCAGGATGGTGGCAATATAGGTCTCCTCCAGGGGGCCCGGCTTCAGCTGCGGACAAGAGGGGCCAGCAGGGCTCAGGCCTCCCCATGAAGCCCACCCACCCCTTCCCCACCGCCGCGGAGCCAGCACTGACCCTGAGCTCGCCCGCCTCAGTGCCAGGGGCGGGGGGACCCTCTGGACGTGGGAGCTTCCTATTTCTTTACCCACTGTGTTTTGACCGCACGGGTCTCAGTTACACCCTGCGAACTCTTGGTTGCGACATGTGGGATCTAGTTCCTCGACTGGGGACTGAACCCAGGCCCCCTGTATTAGAAGTGGAATCTTAGCTGCTGGACCACCAGGGAAGCCCTCTTTACCCACTTTTGGAATTAAAGTTTCAGATGGCTGCGGGAAGGTAAGAGCTGAGAACGGGGACCTGGCGCACTCCTAAGCCTGCCTGCGGGGGGACTAACCCCCCGCCGCACGGGCCAGCAGAGGATGCGGACCCCTCAGCACCAGCCGGGCCCTGAGGAACAGCCAGCCACCGAGACAGGGAAGGAGGGGCCACAGCAGCCCAGGGCTCAAGGACAACCCCCAGGTAACCTCTTCAGTCTGGCCCCGCCCCAGCCCACCAGGCCGCAGCTCACCAGGTCCAAGGCGGAGCCACCACCCAGGTACTCCATGATGATCCACAGCTTCGTGCTCTGCGGCAGAGAAGCATGTCAGCAGGCAGGAGCAGGCAGCGCGGGGCCCCAACACATGCCCAGCTGCGCTGACTCAGCCAGGATGCCCACCGGGAGCGGCATCAGCAGCCCGCCTGGCTCCCTTCGCCACCCCTCTGCGCAGACACTGCAGACGGGCCGTGCGCTCACAACAGCGGCCGAGCCCACTGTCCAAAGCCCCTGGGAAGGACTCTGGGCCCCTCCCAGGAGGGGCACAAACAGGCCACTGCAGAGCCGGCCGCTCCCTACTCACGCC